TCCTTGATTCGGTGTTACATGGATACATGGGCGACAAAGTTACTCTTCTTGAGTGCTTTTTGATCAGTGAAATACACATATTAGAAACTTGGTTAAACCCGCTTCATGAAGGAACAGAATTACCACACCTTCCACCAGGCTTGATTCAGGTTGCTTTTGACATCGACCCAGCAATGGCAGTCTCTTTAGTGGGACGCTATCCATACAAAAAACACAAGGAGACCTTGTCTAACCTTGTCTCTAAAAACCCGCTGGCTTGTATCCATATTCCCGATGCCTTATACCACTTTCTTCAGAAAGGAGGTGCAACTTCCCCTTACGTCCTTTATTGGGCGCCTCTCGGTCCAATACAAGTGATTAACCTCTTTTTGCCCGAATGGAGCAACTACACGCTTTTGCTGCAGTACAATGTACGCGCACTAGAATCGCATGACGTCAATCTAACCTTTTTCTACGTCCCTCAGCTTGTCCAGTGCCTAAGATATGACAAACTAGGTTACGTACAGCGGTTTATTCTCGACACAGCCAAACAGAGCGTATTATTCTCCCATCAGATCATCTGGAATATGCTAGCCAATAGTTACAAAGACGATGAGGCCACTATCGAGGATGATCTAAAGCCTACCCTGGACCGCATACGGGAAAAAATGATTGCCGACTTCAGCCCAGCCCATCGCGACTACTACCAGCGCGAATTCGGCTTCTTCAATGAGGTCACGAGCATCTCCGGAAAGCTCAAGCCCTATATCAAGAAGACTAAGGCGGAAAAGAAGAACAAGATCGATGAGGAAATGGCCAAAATCGCCATACAGCCGGATGTTTATCTCCCCAGTAATCCCGATGGCGTGGTCATCGATATTGACCGCAAGAGCGGCAAGCCCTTGCAGTCGCATGCCAAGGCGCCGTTCATGGCGACGTTCAAGATCCGCAAGGCAGTCAGCGACGAGGAAACCGGTTCGGTCAGCTACATTGAGAAATGGCAGGGAGCCATCTTCAAGGTCGGCGACGACTGCCGCCAGGACGTCTTGGCACTACAGCTAATTTCCGTCTTCCGCACGATCTGGGCCTCCATCGGCATGGACGTCTATGTCTTCCCCTACCGCGTCACCGCCACGGCGCCCGGGTGCGGCGTCATCGACGTCTTGCCAAACTCCATTTCCCGCGACATGCTCGGCCGTGAGGCCGTCAACGGCCTCTACGAGTACTTCACCACCAAATTCGGCCCCGAAAACTCCATCGAGTTCGAGCACGCCCGCAACAACTTCGTCAAGTCTCTCGCCGCGTACTCCGTCATCTCCTACTTGCTCCAGTTCAAGGACCGCCACAACGGCAACATCATGTACGATGAGCACGGCCACTGCCTCCACATCGACTTCGGCTTCATCTTCGACATCGTGCCTGGCGGCGTCAAGTTCGAGGCCGTGCCCTTCAAGTTGACCAAGGAGATGGTCCGCGTCATGGGCGGCAGCCCGGACACCCAGGCCTACCAGCGCTTCCAGGAGCTCTGCATCAAAGCCTACCTTTCTGCGCGCCCCCACATGGATACCATCGTGCAGTGCGTCCTTCCGATGCTCGGCAGCGGCCTCCCCTGCTTCAAAGCCGATAAGACCATCCGCCATTTGGAAGCCCGCTTCCAGCCCGCTAAGTCCGACCATGATGCCGCCCACTTCATGCGCGGCTTAATACGCCGTTCCTACGAAAGCGTCTTCACCAAGGGCTATGACGAATTCCAGCGCCTCACCAATGGCATCCCCTACTAGTCGCGGTAGCCGCCGAAGCTGCCGCCAACAATCACGTGACAGTCACATGACCCCGACTCGGCGCCGTCGGGCCCGACTCGGCCGCCGGGCCGGCGCCTAAAGGCCCGACGCGCTCGGCTCCGATCCCTCGTGGATTGCGCAACAACGAATGACATGAGCAGCTCGGCGTGGCCTCCGGTAGCGGTACGGGCGGTCTGCCCTGATCGCGTGCCCGACCAGCACATCAGTCCCCGCATATATATATTCTGCAACAAAACATATTTCCCGAGCTTGTATATGTAAGGTATACTATCTAGAGGCCATCAAGTGCGTTGGGCAGCAAGATATCGTTGCAGAACACGGACTAGGTAGTAACACATTATAGGAGCGCGATGTTGTCAGCACGTGCACTAGGACGGACGCCAGTGGCGCGCGGGATGGCCACGGTGGCGAAGTTGACGCGGGACTCGCAGGTGAAGCAGAACCTGCTGGAGGAGAAGTCGTTCATCAACTACAAGCAGAACCTGGAATACGTGGACATCGTTCGCAAGCGGTTGGGCCGCCCACTGACGTATGCGGAGAAGATCCTGTACGGGCACTTGGAGGACCCCCACGGGCAGGAGATCGAGCGCGGTGTGTCGTACCTGAAGCTTAACCCAGACCGGGTGGCGTGCCAGGACGCCACTGCGCAGATGGCGATCTTGCAGTTCATGAGCGCCGGGCTACCTGAGGTGGCCAAGCCCGTCACGGTGCACTGTGACCACTTGATCCAGGCTCAGATCGGGGGCGAGAAGGACTTGGCGCGTGCGTGCGAGCTGAACAAGGAGGTGTACGACTTCCTTGCTACCGCGACCGCCAAATACAACATGGGGTTCTGGAAGCCAGGCTCCGGTATCATCCACCAGATTGTGCTTGAGAACTACGCGTTCCCAGGTGCGCTTTTGATTGGTACCGACTCGCACACACCTAACGCCGGTGGTCTTGGCCAGCTGGCGATCGGTGTCGGTGGTGCTGACGCAGTGGACGTTATGTCTAACCTAGCCTGGGAGTTGAAGGCTCCTAAGATCTTGGGTGTCAAGCTGACCGGCCGCATGAGCGGCTGGACCTCGCCAAAGGATATCATCCTAAAGCTTGCGGGCATCACGACTGTCAAGGGTGGTACTGGTAAGATCGTTGAGTACTTCGGTGACGGTGTCGACACCTTCTCTGCCACCGGTATGGGTACCATCTGTAACATGGGTGCCGAGATTGGTGCTACCACCTCGGTCTTCCCATTCAACAAGTCTATGATCGAGTACTTGAACGCTACCAACAGAAACCAGGTTGCCGAGTTTGCTCAGTTGTACAAGAAGGACTTGCTATCTGCCGATGAGGGCGCTGAGTACGACGAAGTCATCGAGATCGACTTGAACACCTTGGAGCCTTACGTCAACGGTCCATTCACACCAGACTTGGCTACCCCAATTTCCAAGCTAAAGGAGGTTGCTGTTGAGAAGAACTGGCCATTGGAAGTTAAGGTTGGTTTGATCGGTTCTTGCACCAACTCTTCTTACGAAGACATGTCGCGTTCTGCCTCCATCATCAAGGACGCTGCGGCCCACGGCTTGAAGGCCAAGTCGCTATTCACTGTGACTCCTGGTTCCGAGCAGATCAGAGCCACTATCGCACGTGACGGTCAGCTAGACACTTTCACCGAGTTTGGTGGTATCGTTTTGGCTAACGCCTGTGGCCCATGTATTGGTCAGTGGGACAGAAGAGACATCAAGAAGGGTGAGAAGAACACCATCGTCTCCTCTTACAACAGAAACTTCACCTCCAGAAACGACGGTAACCCAGAGACTCACTCTTTCGTTGCCTCTCCTGAGCTTGTGACTGCTTTTGCTATCGCTGGTGACCTACGTTTCAACCCATTGACCGACAAGCTAAAGGGTAAGGACGGCGAGGAGTTCCTATTGAGCCCACCTGCCGGTGAGGGTTTGCCATCCGGCGGTTACGACCCTGGTGAGAACACTTACCAGGCTCCACCAAAGGACCGTAACCAGGTTGAGGTCAAGGTTTCTCCAACCTCCGACCGTCTGCAATTGCTAAGCGCCTTCAAGCCATGGGATGGCAAGGACCCAAAGAACATGCCTATTTTGATCAAGTCGTTGGGTAAGACTACCACCGACCACATCTCTATGGCTGGTCCATGGTTGAAGTACAGAGGTCACTTGGAGAACATCTCGAACAACTACATGATCGGCGCTATCAACGCTGAGAACAAGAAGGCTAACTGCGTCAAGAACCACTACACCGGTGAGTACTCTGGTGTTCCAGAGACTGCCAGAGCCTACAGAGACCAGGGTATTAAGTGGGTTGTCATCGGTGGTGAGAACTTCGGTGAGGGTTCTTCTCGTGAACACGCTGCATTGGAGCCAAGATACCTAGGCGGTTTCGCTATCATCACCAAGTCCTTCGCTCGTATCCACGAGACGAACTTGAAGAAGCAGGGTTTGCTGCCATTGACTTTCCACGAGCCAGAGGCTTACGACAAGATCAACCCTGAGGACACTGTTGACATTATTGGGTTGAACGACTTTGCGCCAGGCAAGCCATTGACTTTGAGAATCCACTCCAGCTCTGGGACTTGGGAGACTCCTTTGGACCACACCTTCAACAAGGAGCAGATTGAGTGGTTCAAGGCTGGTTCTGCATTGAACAAGTTGGCCGCAGCTAAGAAATAAATCGCTTAACTGCCTGCTTGTCTTCTAGCAAAGGGATTTCGCGAGACAACTTCATGTATTTGTATTTATTATTTGCCTATCATTATGGAGCGCATTATTGTGCGACGTATTTATTTATTGCGACAACTCTAAGTATTTATTGTTATTGACTATTGAGAGTAAACCTGATCTCGCCAGAGAGGCGACACCATACGCAATGTTTACTACTGCAAAAAGCTACACTGCAGTTTTAAAAAATGGTTCCTAGCGGGATCGAACCGCTGATCCCCGCGTTATTAGCACGGTGCCTTAACCAACTGGGCCAAGGAACCAAATATGCTTGAAGCACGTCTAATCAATATATACAATTACATCTTCTGTGCACGTGATATACCTTCAATGCTGCAAAATTATCATACGTGCAGCTCTTCCCTTCAAGTCTAGTAAGTTACTGTGTACAGGTCTAGACTATTTTTTCTACTAATATTTTCAAGCAATATTTGGCTGTATTAATGTATATATAATGAGATATTACATCCATCCCACAGGAAATCCATATGAGAGTTTGGCCGAGTGGTTTAAGGCGTCAGATTTAGGTTCTTCTAAATTCTCTGATATCTACGGATTCGCGGGTTCGAATCCCGTAGCTCTCATTATTTTTTGATTTGAATGGGCGTCCACAGTCATGTGTGACCTGATAACATTCTCGCATTGAAGTCATGCCAATTTGATTGCAACTGTGGCTGCATGCACGTTCTGGACTAGCACTGGTACTGGCATCCAACAACTGCCAGCAGCGCAATGAAGTGTAGAATCGTTGTGGCACCTGATAATAAGTCCACTGCTGGTACTCTGAAGACAAGCTATGAGTCGTCCTCGGCCTTGCTGTCGCTTTACGCATATAAATACGCTTATTACGCAGCTGCAGTATCTAATTCGAGCTGTCGAAGGTATCTGAACCCAGATATAGTATAGGGCAAATGACGTATCACTTTGACACTCTGCAGCTTCATGCAGGCCAGGAAGACGCCGCAGAAAACGCCAACAGTCCTAGAGCGGTGCCAATTTATGCCACCACGTCGTATGTCTTCAATGACTCCAAGCATGGCGCCCAGCTCTTTGGCCTAGAAACGCCAGGTTTCATATATTCCCGCATTATGAATCCAACGAATGATGTCCTCGAGAAGAGGATCGCTGCATTGGAAGGCGGAGCAGCAGCTCTAGCAGTGGCGTCGGGGCAGGCTGCTCAATTAGTGGCAATCGGCGGGTTAGCCCACGCGGGCGACAACATTGTGTCCACATCCTATTTATACGGAGGATCGTACAACCAATTCAAGGTGGCGTTCAAGCGGCTGGGAATTGAGTGTCGTTTTGTGGAAGGGGACGACGCTGACGATTTTGAGGCGCGGTTTGACTCAAAGACTAAAGCCGTTTTCCTGGAGTCCATTGGCAACCCGAAGTACAACGTTCCTGATTTTGAAAAGATCGTGGCGGTGGCGCACAAGCACGGCATCCCAGTTGTTGTTGACAATACGTTTGGCGCAGGAGGCTATTTCTGTCAGCCAATCAAATATGGCGCCGATATCGTGACGCACTCAGCCACCAAGTGGATTGGGGGCCACGGAACTGCGATAGGAGGTCTCGTTGTGGATTCGGGAAAGTTCCCTTGGAAAGACTACCCCTCGAAGTTCCCACAATTCTCTGAGCCTTCGGAGGGATACCATGGCATAGTTCTCAACGAAGCCTTTGGACCGCTGGCGTTTATTGGGCATGCTAGGATTGAGCTATTGAGAGATCTCGGCCCTGCGCTTTCCCCATTTGCCTCTTTCCTGTTCCTCCAGGGGTTGGAAACACTGTCTCTTAGAGCGGAAAGACATGGCCAAAACGCATTGGCGCTGGCAAAGTACCTCGAGAAGTCTGCCTATGTGTCGTGGGTGTCCTACCCCGGCTTAGAATCACATGACTACCACAAAAGTGCAACCCGTTATTTGCAGAATGGCTATGGGGGTGTTCTATCTTTTGGGGTACGGCCGTTGCCTGATACGGATGAAGAGACTGACCCATTCAAAGCAGCAGGTGCGCAATTTGTGGATAACCTGAAGTTGGCGTCGAATCTCGCCAATGTGGGGGACTCCAAGACCCTTGTAATTGCGCCCTACTTCACGACACACCAACAGCTGTCAGAGTCCGAGAAGCTGGCCTCTGGTGTCACCAGGGACCTCATAAGGGTATCTGTGGGTACCGAATACTTGCAGGATATCATAGCAGACTTTGAGCAGTCATTTTCTATCGTGTACGGTGCCTCTAAGGACGTCGCACCTGTATCCATCTCAGCGGAGGATGCACGTGTAATAGCAGCCAACTCCGACGAGATACAGGCCTGAACGTTATGTTTGGCCAGCTGCCAGTTACCTCTTCTGGTGTGGTGGTATATCTATAACGTATATAGGAGACCCGTTCTACAACAGTCTAATGTACAGACCATAGCCCTCTGGAGGCAAGCGCTCAGCCCGAGCGAAAGGGCGGCCTCCACTTGGGCAGTCGTCGGGAATAGCTGTAGAAAAACCGTGCTAAAATATGTACCCAATGAACAGAACCGTTACCCATCCCGAGAGTCCATCAAGAATACGTCTCAATCAGGGTATCGCGCAGATTACCAGAAATGGCGTCTGGGTTCGCATCTTGCAGGCGGAATATAGACTCGATGACGCTCAGCTCCGGCGCAGTGGTGTCAAGCCCCGTGACGGCAAGGTAGTCGTTCACCACCATCCCCGCGCCCACAACGCTGGAACCCCGGTTGATGGTACCTGCAACCAGTGGCACTTGTAGCAGGGACGACAACTCCTCCTGGTCCTGTATGGTCGTTTGTGGGTGAACTAGACCGCCCTGGTTGCTTAGTGCGCAGTACGAGCCCACAAGCACGTTGCCCGAGATCGTCTGACGGAACACCTCCACGCCAAGCACGTCGGCAATCAGCTCCTCGGTCTCGTTGTCAATGTCCGGGTGGACCAGCGCAACGTAGTCGTTGCAGCATATAACGTTCCCCAGAGCCGACAGGCGCTCTTCGATCCTCTGGATTTTTACGGAGTCCGGCAGACTGTTTCTGAGGTGCTGCAGTTCCTGGTCCGTGGTTTGCGTGGGAACTAGTAGCCCCCTTCTGTTACCCGCAGTCATTCTTCCCACTATCCGCGTGCCGGCAATAGTCGTGTGCACGATGGGGATGGCGTCGCCCAGCTCGGCCTCGAAAGCCGAGTAGAAGTTCTCGGACCCACCAATGGTGACCAGACAGTAGGTGTTGGTCAGCTTCGAAAAGACACCCACCTCATTCGAATTCTCAAACTGCGTTCTCGTAGCCATGCTTGTTAGACTTGATTATGTTGCGCTTGAGTTAGTAACTGGTCGTAGATGGCAGCTTTCTCACTATTTTAGATGAGTTGACCGTGGAAAAAAGAAACGACAATAAAATTTTCATGTAATGACGATCATTATTAACGAAACACACCACGTGATCATACGGTAGCGATGCCCTTAGTCGGCTCGAGGCCTAGGGCAACAGGTGGTGTGTCACGGATGAAGAGGGCATCCTCGCGGGCTCCCATCATTCATGGGTATAGTTATCGCGTTTTTGTGGTCTGTCGCTGGCGTATGACATGCTGCCCGACGGTTTCGAGCTGTGACACTTGGCGACAGCGAACCTCGAACCAAACCGCATGCAGCAGAGATCTTGCATGCCGACAGCTACACCTGTAATTCACGGCAAATGCCGTCAATCTACTCAAAGACTTCATGCGGCAGCATGCCCGCGAGTGGCGGGGGGAAGCACTTCGGAAGCGCGTCAGCGACAGCAAATGCGGAAACATACCGCATTGGGTTTTTGTGTCACCAAGACAATATATTTGTTGGATGAAGATCTCCGAAAGCAGTGCGGCAGGCATTCCACACAGACCAGGCAAAGATGTCTGAGCTGGGGAACCTCAGCAACTGGAGTCGCAAGGTACGTACAGTATCGCAGCATTCTTCGTGTATGGAAGGGCCTAGGAAGTCCACGGCGCCGAGTAGCGGCGTCTGCAAGAACAGCGGCAAGGCACCGGATGAAGTGCTGGTGTTGCAGAACGAGAACTGCCACTTGCAGCTCATGCTATCCGAAAAGGGCAGCGAAGTGGAGCTACTAAAAAACAAGGTCGGTCAACTCCAGCAGCGGCTAGACGAGCTGCTCTTGTCGAACAACTCCGCGATGACAGGCAACGTGCCGCTTTCCGAGTTGTATCTCAAGCCGGATGATGACGAGGTCATGACCCACTTCTCAGGGTCACCATACCGCGGTAGCAGACCTTTCAGCCACTCAACAAAGCGCTCATCGACCAGCGTGACATCGAATGCCCGGCAGATGAGCTACCTGTTCGTGTCGCGCCAGGTAGTTCCGTATATGCGCGAAGCGATTAGCATTTTCGAGCGCAGCGATCTATTCAGTGGGCAGGCGATGAAGGCCCGTCAGGCTTTCGTAAAGGCGATAGACGGCGCGGTAGGCGCAGTTCCGCAATTCGATGACCTCGTCGACGTTCTCGACGAACTCACGATCCTTCAACGGAACGCTGTCGTCTGTTTGAACCGCGAGCTAGAATACAAGAAGCTCACGCAACAGCTCGAATACTTGGCAACCATTTTCCTAGACCCCGAGGAGTATGGGCTTCGCTCCAAAGAGTACGTGGCGCACCTTCGCGGGCAGCTCCTCGAAATCATCACCAACATACACAGCTCGATGCCGCTATTGAATCCAGCATGCTACAGCTCAGTTCCTACTGACAATACGTCCTCCAGCCCTCTCCAGCACGAGACGACTGACGCCACGCCGTCCGAGTCGCTGCAGCCGGAAGATACGGGTCCCACACGGTCTGAATCGCTCCAGCACAGTGAAATCATGCCGCCGCCCCGCACACCGCACGCAACCATCCGCACGATGATGCTACCCGCTGCAGCGCACGGGCGCATGGCTCCGCCGGCCCACCCTGATTTGTTCAAAAGGTCACAAGCATCGAAGCGCTCCGGCACCCACACGTCGCCCCGTTGGAAGCGCCGCCCGTCCGCCTCTAATGACTACGTGAAATCGCTCAGTGCTCTCAACCTTACCATGCCTGCACGCACAACCCCAAAGGAACCTCTTGAATTTATCCCCATCGGGTTCGAAGGACGGCTCTCCGGAGCGCAGACGCCGTCCCGTATATCCTCTCCCCGCGAACTCGAGAAAGTTATATTGACACCGCTTACCTGGAGTAGAGATGGTTATGGCGAGGATGAGAATCGGGATCCACTAGAGCAGTTTTATGCAGAAAGGGTCACTGGAACAGACCTGGAGGATACCAGAACAACCATTACGGGCTTCAATAGCATATAACTCGGCAGTAATCCCCTAATTAGCACTGCTAGCCGTTAGCTATGTAATTATTTATATATCAGCTCAATCAGCCGTATCTTGGTGTGCCATAGCGAAACTCGAGTCCCATCTTGGTTTTATGCCTCATCTTGCTGCGTTAGTTCAATCCATGCGTGAAAAAAAAGGACAGAGATGCCGACTCTACCTCGAGGATATCAGGAAGTGTCCACGTTCAAGATCAAGCACTGCGAGGCCGTAAATGCATAATACTCAAGCGGCATC